TTAATTCAGCAATATTGTTGCAATAAACCAGTGAACATTCTTGCAAAAAAGTATGGTATAAACCTTTTCTCACGATTTCTGTACCGGTAAAATGGTGTCCCTGGAGAAAGTAAGTTCGTAGCCCGAAGTCTAGACTCCAAAATCTCTGAAGAATCCTTTGGAAAGCCTAAATTTCACACCAAATCATTAAGTTTACCTTGTATGAAAAAGACTGGTTCACCGAACGTTTCAGGTTGAAAACAATCCCTATCATCATTTCTATTGACATCAGATTCAGAATCAGATGAAAATGTATCAAGAGTCTCCGGTGAAGTAGGTACAGGTACATCAGATCCATGAGCAACAGGTCTTATAGCAGATTGGAGGTTTGGATAAGAAATTTCCCTTTTTATTTGAGTGTTGTAGCCTTGCACGTTACATGAGCAAATATAGCAGCAATCTCCATGATTTCTAGGCTCACGACAGACAATTGGAATTTCAAAAGGAAAATACTTTTTCTTACCTTTAGTCCATTGTCTGAACTTTTCGACACAAACGATGCAAACTTTGTACGGAGCCCATGATTTGTCTTAGTCCCAAAGTTTTATTCCAAAATACGCGTCACACGCTTTTTTGACGAATTCTGTAATGCTTGCCTTTTTTACAACAAATTTACCACAAATATAACAGAATATATTTAGGTCACTTACACAACCTTTTGTTGCCATAGCGACGAATAAATAACATTGAAAAGAAAAAATAATGTCAAAGTGCACGCGCAAACAAATACTATCCAGAAATGACACGTCATGCGGCCTGTTAACCATTCATATACTAGCAGTGTGTTTCTCGTGGAGTCTAGAACGATCGACAAGACTCCCACGTCGCGATTGGTCTAGACAAAGCTAGTGGTTTTCAACAGTTTAAGCATAACAAAATGTGACCCGATTTCGATGAAAATTATTCACTTATGTAAAAGTACATGTGACGTATTGTGAAAAGTCTGTACGTGATGGAGAAAAATGGATATCATTTTCGGATTCAGCGTACAGGAATTACATTAGAACATGTAAAAATTTTAAGACAATAAAACCATCGCAGGCTTGTGTAAATAATTGACCGACTGGAACTTAACTTGTAACTTGAAATTATACTTAACACCAAATACGTTCAGCTTTATTTTTGAAGCATTTTAATGACAGTCACTATCTGTAATTCTAAAAATATGTTTTTCCGTCTCTTTTAATCTTGTTGATAATAAAGTTGTTTAAACTGTCTGTAACTTGATACATTGGTAACAATGAACCTTAGTTTTCACTTGTTCCTCGTGTGCCTACTTCTGTTTTCACAAGTACGATTGGACAGTTTTGTTGATGGGCAAAGTCGTGTATTTGGTTCATTATTTGGAATCAAAAACCAAAAGGCATTAAGTTAAGTATTACATCTCATATTTGGAAGTTGAAACAAAATATATTTCAACCATCGGAATAAACAATGCACTTCCTGTCTTTCAATACTTAAGCAAAACAAGATTCGTTAGACGACACATGGAGCATCTGGCACATCTGACCTTTCTAAACGTTTTCTTTAGTTTTTGTGATCATTGTTTTATAGCATATTTAGTTATGGCTGGTTATCTTTATTTTCTTTGCTTAACAGGAGTATTTTACAGAACTAATATACTAAATCTTGACTAAACAAACAAACAAAACAACAACAACAACATTCTGACATTGAAGTAAATCAAGCTCTTAAAGTGACAACATTCAGACATTGCATTCCATTTTTTTAAATTATCGACATATTGCTAGATTCTATTAACATACCTCACATATTTGCATTCTATACATTTTATAGATCATAATGATTGAAAAGGAGATATTTTTCTTTTGCATTCGCATTTCCAGAGTACATAAAGACTGACTAAAGTCCTAAGTGACACAATTAAACAATCTTGATCCGCTGTTAAGGTAGTTTAGCTAATATTTTCAATATGTCGACTTCTCAAGCATTTTCTCTCAGTTCTGAGATAGCGAATTGGACTGCCTGTTTAGCACTACTCGAGGTCTGACTGTATCTGTTCCACAGAGAGCTCTAATTAGTTTAAGATGGTTGATATAATTTATTTCAAATATATTTGTATTGTGAAAGCTGGAGCATTTCCCTTCTCTTCCTACTTAGTGGTTTGTTTCAGAAACCTGGTGCAAAGCTACACAATGGATTATCTACGCATAGCCTAATTTTGAACTAGTAACTGATCAACAACATCCATCACCTATTATTGGCCTACTTTTGACTGACCAAATACTGTGATTTGATTGTCATTTTTATAGTGAACCCGTGGCCCTATAGTATGGAACGCATTTTTGCAGCAATGGGCAGCGAACCACAGATTCTTGGATTCGGAGTCCGAACACACTAACCACTAGCCCATGCAAGGCCTCTTACTAATGACACGGAATTTAAGGATCATATTAATCCAGGATATCTGATGTCAATATTTCAAAAACAGATGACTTTATGTGTAAACTTACGTACAATATTTTGCAAAAACTTTTCGTATAAAACTTCAAAGCAAAACTGTTAGGTTATATTTTACCTACTAACACGTGTGTTACAAATTAGGTTATCGTATCTGATAGAAGCCTTTAATCTTAGTTCTCAGAAAGAATAAAGCTAATACTTTAGAAAATGTCGCCAAGAGTAAAAATTTAATTCTGAAAACAACGCCCTGATGATATTTTCTTAATCGCTAGTGATAATGGTCAGGCAACAAACATTCAAGTAATAGTGTTAATGGTTATATAAGTATTCAAGTGTTATGATAGTGACTAGGTAACAAATATTTTGACGTTGGTGGTACTGGTCGGAAAACAAGTAGTTTATCGTTGGTAGTAGTGTACAGGTAGCAAATAAAAAATGATAGTAATAATGGTCAAGTAACAAATATTCAAGTGTTAATAATAGTGGTTAGGTAACAAATATTTTCATGTTGGTGGTAGCGATCAGGTAACAAATGGTTTCATGTTAATGGTAATGGTGAGGTAAAAAAAGTGTTGTCATTAGTGGTAATGGCCAGGTTTGTTTATTTCCTTTAAGAACAAGGCTTAAAAATTGGCATATCTGTGCTGTGCCCATCGTATGGATCAATCCCCAAATTTGGGCAAACAAACCTCATGCTGATCATTGGGCCACCATGGGACATAGTTGTAAGGTAGTAAATATTTCGTCGTTAGTAAAAGGGATCAGATAACAGTTGTTTATTCGTTAATATTAAAGTTCATGAAATAACTATTTATTGGCAATATCAAGTAGGATACTTTTTAGTAGTCGTTTTCAGGTGATAGTTATCTAGCTATCAGTAGTTATTTTCAAGTAAAAGGTATTTAGTAATAGTAGTTAGTGACTGTTTTGAGGTGTCAAATGTTTAGTTGTTAGTAATTGTTTTCAGATGATAGCTATTGAGTTGTAATAATAATAGTTAAATAACAGATACTTAGTTGTTAGTAACTGTTTTCAGGTGACAGATAATTACATGTCAGTAGTAGTGGTTAGATAACATACATTTCGTTGTTAACAGCTATTTTCTGGTGGTAACTATTTATTTCTTAGTAGCTATTTTCAGGTTACAGATATTTAGCTGTTAGTATTAGTGGTTAGGTGACAATTATTTCTTCGTGACAACTAATAGTCAAACAACTGATTACCTTTAATTGTAAGAGGAGATGGTGGTAAATTCTGAGCTTCACAAAACATCGGAAGACCGTAGTCAGTTATCTTCAAAACCCACCGGCTATCAATGACACAATTTCGTGAGGTGAGATTCCCGTGATGCTTCACGGGACAGGAGTGGAGATATCTCATACCCTGGAAAATCCAGCAGAAACAAAAAGCATTTAATATGCTACAATAAAAAATGCATACAAAATACACGTTTCCATAGTGTAAACGTGAACCAAGCGTTCGAAATAGCGATATAAACATAAAAATAGTATAATAAATTGTCGAAAACAGTGCACACAAAAAATACGTTTTCATTATTTTGTTAATTCTCCATTCAACGCTTAAAACACTATATTTCAATAAAAGCCACAATAAGACTATGGAGAAGTTCATGGTGTTCATTTAAAAAATAACCAATATTTCAGAGTTATTTAAGATATGAAAAGTGGAGAAGTAAAACAGTCATTGCAAATTTAATTTCAAATATTCACTTGAATTAAAACATACAGTATCTAGACACTTTGTCTCTTGTAAAAGACATTTGATCTAAATGCACAACTCATGACTGATTAAAATAAAGTATTCCAACTATAGCACAATGTCTTAGACTAAATCTGTTTGAATTAAGTGTAAATTAAAATATAAGAAAGATAATACAAATATATATTGATTATGGATATTTGTCAAGGTAAGGAAACATAATGAAAGTAGGTTGATAGATGACAAGAAAAAATTACTGAAATTAACCTTAGTGAGAAGGTTGAGAAATACATCGTGTAAATAGGTGTCATAAATCCTCCAGGTGATCCAAAATACTAAATTAAAGAAAGAACAACGTTGTGTAAAGATTCCAATAAGGAAAACCACCTTGATACGGCCTTACCTTTTTTTAATGAAATTGTAACGTTAGTTCACGCTCCATCAAAGTCTACGAAACAAAGTTTTAAGTGTTGATGATAAATGATTTCGTTGGGTGAATATATCATGACAGAATTAACAATATTTACTCATATTATTGGCTATTAACGCATAAAAAATCTAATTCAATTAGGTTTTTAGAACATTTTAAGCTCAGTTTAGTTTTCATTTTATATATAACAATAAGAATGACTTATTCAATTTTTTAATCTGTATTCGTCATATAATAGCTGTACTTACATAAACTCGATCAGTAAAACATAACAATACTTAATTCAGTTGTATCAGTACATTATAACAATACTTATCTGAATTGGATCAGTACATTATAACAATACTTATCTGAACTGGATCAGTACATTATAACAATACTTATCTGAATTGGATCAGTATATTGTAGCAACACTTGCCAACATTAGATTTGTTAATCATAATAAGACTTATTTATAGTAGGATATGAAACTTTCTATTAATGGCCAATCACCCAAGTTTGCAATAGTTCTTCACCTTCAGCTCGAATCATTGTAGGTAAGTTGTCAGTTTCAAACGTAATATTACATTCAGTCAACAAATTAGGAATTATACCAGATGTATATCCCAGTTTCAGAAAAGAGTTTGTGAAAAATAGACATATAGTGATAGATTTTAATACTTCATTGTAAAAAAATAGAAAATTAAAAACTTGTAAATGACAAAAGAGCTATTGCACTTGAGAATAACATCTTTAAATATAAAAAATCTTATTCTAAAAATAGATTTGAAATACATCTAATCTGTATTTTTTTGGTATACTCTGCTAAAATACAAATTTATCTGTAGAAAATATGTTATAATTTTTATAAAAGAAATACATAAATTGTAGAGTTCTGTAAACTGAGGTTTAGTAAAACTTTCAGGATCAACAGCGTTGACAAAACTTACTCTGACGAGATCTGTCAGTAATGACAGTTTGAATGACCAGTCTAGTTTGATATCCTCACTGGCTAAGACATCAGCAAGACTTCCTCGAGAACAATGCTCCCATACTAGGGCAGGCTGCTGAGGGTCGGAAAGACACCCGAGGAAAGGGTTAATGTTCTCATGGCGCAACTCGTAAATCTGGTGACGGAAAAATTGAAACTGTATCGGAGTTTTTTGTTTTTTTTTTAAAGATGTGTAACCTTTTTAAATTTTGACCTTGCGTCTTAACCATGCCAAGATCACTAGAACGTGGTTTCATATCAAGTTCGGTAGGCGAATTTTTAACTTTTGATTGTTGTATCATTTAGAGTTGGATCTAAAGAGTCCAAAGCCAGCATAAAACTAAAACTGACTTTGCTACAACTTCCAAACTATTTGTCAAAGCTGGGTTGATTGCTATTTTCGGTGTAAACTTGGCCGAAAACTTAGATATTTGAGCGCAACAATAACCAGAAGTATTTGAATAATAGTAGTAACAGACAAAGTACAGAAAATGACCTCTCTGTAATGTTTTAACAAAGAAAACAATGGATGAGGTTAAAGATCGATTTCTCCAGTTTCATATAATAAATAGCAATAAGAATTTTTTGAACTAAGTAAGCAAATCAACTTCTTAACCTTAATTATCTAATACCATATTTCATAACAGTTAACAAAAACCTTTTATTAATTTGAATACTTCAGATGGGAATTTCTAGATAAAGACGCTATTAGACGAAAAATGTCATATTTATTTGAATCACCACCTTCATGATCCGAAAAAATAGCAACGTTTTCTCTCAAATAGGAAGAATCAGAAGAGGTTTTCTTCTTTTCTCTTCTAGTTTTATTTTATTCTTTTTGAAAACTCTTTTTATCATTCTTTTCTTGATAACCTTCTTTCACTAGATATCCCATTGTGGTCACATCCACAATGCCAGCATTTATAGCAGTTCAAATACCTTTTCGTTTGTGCTTGCATATAATAGGAGCATAGGTTTGTCCTATGGATTGTTCCATAGATCTACATTCGCTTTATAAACAGGAAACAGCATAAATAATTAAGCATTCGAGTTTTGGCCAGAAAATGGAAAATATTGGTCAAAGCTAACGCAACGAATGTTTAAAAAAAGATTATGAACATTTCGTCTTCACAGAATGGAAGCCTTAATTCACAACAATAATTCTAGCATATTTTTGGCAAATTTTTTTTACAGATATCACACATTTCAAATTTATCAGCAATGTAGGCCTGGTTAAGTCACGATTCTAGAGTTAATAATCCAATTAATTGTTCATTATCGAAAGTAATTTTAATTCAGTTCTCAAAATGGTAGGGAGTTTTCTTGTTGTTTTTTTTTTTAAATCTCAAATCACAACTATCAAAAACTAACATTGGTATTTCATTGGATAAAAAACAAACAAGTTTTTCTAGTTACAAAATGTATTAGGTCGTCAAGAAATTAATGTCACTTTTTTTTAGATGAAAAAACCTGAACAACTTATATATCAAAAAAAAACAAACATTTATTAAATCAAATAGTCTCCATTTTTATCGATGATGCTTTTCCATCTTACAATAAGGTTGTTAATGCCCTGATTAAAGAAATCACTTGGCTTTCAAGCAAAAAACATGTCGATGTCCTCTTTAACACCTTCCACAGTTACATACTCTTTCGCATTAAGATGATGTTGTACCGAACGAAAAAGATGGTAATCTGATGATGCCATATCTGGAGAATATGGTGGGTGGGGGAGAACTTCCCAAACCAACTCTATAATCTTGTGATGCGTCAAACGTGCCACAAGTGGACGTGCATTGTCGTAGAGAAGAAGAACAACACCTTTCCGATTGATGAGTGAAGGGAGTTTCTGATGAAGGGTTTGATTTAAACGTTCCAGTTACCGACTATAGATCTCTGCATTGACAGTTCGCTTTGGACTGAGGAGTTCAAAATGAATTACTCTGCGGATGGAGTCCAGGTTTTGGGGTCGGAAGTAATTTTTGTATAGGACGGAGCCATTGTTTTTGGTATTTAATATTCGCATAGAGAATCCATTTTTCATCACCGGTGAAAATTCTGTCCAATAATGATTCACGCGCATTACGTGCCAGAAGCGACGAAGCAACGTTCACACGTTGCAAACGATGATCATCGGAGAGTTCGTGAGGCACCCAAACACCTTCTTTATGGAGTTTTTCATATTCCTTACATGTTTACGTATTGTTTTATGAGAGACATGCAATTTCAGGGCCATTTCACTAGTGTGTTGCCTTGGGTTAGACTCAACAAGCGTCTTCAGAGCATCAGTATCAATTCCAACATGTCGGCCCCCACCATCACAGTTTTTAAGGCTTAAGTCACCTGAACGAAATTTGCCGAACCATTGTTGACACTTACGAACGTTCAAAACATTTCCATAAACTTCTTTGATATTCTTTGTGGCTGCAGAGGCGTTGTTTCTCTCCTTGCATTCAAACAACATTACATGCCGAATGTGCGTCTCGTCGTGTGCCATCACTATAAGGGATTAGAGTATACTATACTTTACACATTATGTAGGCTACACTAACATGACGTTTAGGCGGTTCCTTTAACTATTATAGATGATGTACATTTTCTGGGGGGTGGTTAATAAAAGTGTTCCAAAATGCGACATTAATTTCTTGACGACCTAATAATTTCTATTCTAATATAAAGGCAAACATATCGTAATCAAAGCTCTAAAAGAAAGGGGAGTTCTAAAATCATAAAACAGAATATTTATGAGTTTGATTTCTTTGATTCAAAAATATGTTATCATTAAATCATACAAGCAAATAAACTGTCTTTCTCATGTCGTATCTCTTCAGTGAAAAATATCTTATCAGACCTAGTAAATGCTAACAGATAGGTAAATAGCTCTCAATATACATGTATATGTCAATAATTAACATGCAATGCCCCATTAAGAACACTACTCGTATGTCACAGGGGCCAGGCATGGCCTAGTGGTTAGCGTGCCCGATGCGGATTTGAAAGTTCACGGTTCGAGTCGCAATATTCTGCTGAATACGCAGACCACTTTCAGCTGTGAGGACGTTATAATTCTGGCATTCAACCCTGTCATTCGATTAAAAGCAGCTGCATAATAGGCGGATACTGTTGACTGCTTGCCAACCTTACTGTCGGCAACTCTTAATTACGAAAGGATATGCCTGAACCTCAAGGAGTCGCTCTCCTGGTAGTTTAGCACGTGTGTTGTTTAAGGTGCTATTTAGATTAAAAATACCAATACGGTATTTCATATTAGTTTTCAAAAACTTCTTATTAATTTGAATATTTCAAATAAGAATTTCTGGATAAAAATGCAAGTAGGCGGAAAATTTCATATTCATTAATATCTATGAGAGATCTGTCAAAATTACTATAATTTTGATTGATTCCACTCACAAAATTTATGAAAATGCCATCATAAAAATCAAAACATTATGTCTTTTGTGGACTACCTTTAATACACGCACACAGTAAAGGATTATTTTCCTACATAGTCTACAATACATATCTCTATACCGAAGAGGATTCTATTGATTCTATTGATTACGAGGTTTTTAAGTTTAGCCTAACAGAAATCTGAGTTTAAAATGCCATGGCCCGGCATGGCCAGGTGGTTAGGGCGCTCGACTCGCAGTCTGCGGGTCGTAGGTTTGAATCCCCGTCACACCAAACATGCTCGCCCTTTCAGCCGTGGGGGCTTATAATGTGACGGTCAATCCCATATTCGTTGGTAAAAGATTAGCCAAGAGTTGGCGGTGGGTGGTGATGACTGCTGCCTTCCTG